GCCCAATTCGGAGTGGCGTAAACAGAGAGGTGGCCAACCGTTGATTTGGCAGAGGAGTATGAAGGAGATCACGAAACGCTTGGGTGCTGTTGGTGCTACTCGCCTTCCAGGATGGGGACCGCGTGATCCTCACTGTGCCTGGTTGGTGACACTACGTGACATGACTGCCAACCGATGTCAGTGGCGTTCTCGTTATCAGTTTCTATCCAGATTGTCTGAAAATAGGTGTAGGAATGATTGTGATAAGCTGGCACTAAGTCCCTTCCCCGTCCACCTTTACTCTTTACAATACGGCTTTCAAATAACTAATGGTTGTACGGCAGTGAAGCATCGGTGTTGAACACTGATGTCATGCTGTCGATGATGATGACGATGATGACTTGATGTGTTCATCAATAGGCCCAGTGGCTTTATTTACGAACGATTGGACTGCGCAACCTAGCTTCCGATGGATGCGGTTTGACATAAACTATTTTCAACATCCGCTGATTTTTCACGTCAGCTGCTCTCCCAGTTGCACTGAGGACGCAATTAACAGTGGTGCAATCCAAATGCAGAATAAGCTGACCTTTGTTGCGCTGGTGGTTCTGTTGTTGTTGTTGTTATTCACAAGCAGTCAGTATTGTTTGGCTAGCACCCTTAGCTGTGTTTCCGCTGCGTACCGCGTATGTCTGTGTGTGTGTGTGTGTGCAAGTTCATTAATCTGTGACACTGGTGTAGGGGACGCGCACAAGGTTTACTCACCATTGTATGTCATAGAAGCTGCTATATGAGCTGTAAATCGATTGATGCTGCACTACCTCCATGACCCTTTCAATGTCATTTGAAGCGTGCTTCTCACAAATGTTGCCTTTTGTTGCCCTTTTGATTCCTATGGACCGTAGCGTCAACTTTTCAAGCTTATAAGACTGAGTATTTCAATGCTCTTGGTATCTTCCCATAGATGGGGAATGTGACCATTGTGAGGGATAGAGGTGACCATGTTCTGATGATATGGGTTTTTTGTTCATATCCATACCACTCGCGTTTGAACGGTCATCCTCTTGTTCTTGTATAATTATTCCGGTGAGCCCACACCAAAGGGAAGCACTGGACTCGAGTTTCGCTCTTATTAGAGCTCATCAGCAGTGCGTATCCAACGGCCGTGCAGGGATTTGAACCCCGGACATCTGACATGCGAGGCGAGCGTGTAACCACCAGTCCACCAACGCACTTTAAAAGCATCTGAATTATCACGTCTGAACAGGCGAACATGTTCACATCACTTGAGCGATGTGATTAGTGTGCCCGACTCATCGAACGACGACCCAGTAACTGTCCTGGTTGTGACGATCGACATGGGTTTTATTTCCTCCGCACAAACACTCAGACTTGGTTGTGGGAATAGCGGAACAGCAGCACCATCTCGGTGAAGACCGGATCGTCCGGGAAATACTAGCTGTTCCCGCTCCATTGTCTTGTTGCCTGAGCCCCTTATCTTGCCAAAGCAATGGCTCTAAACTCGTGTCGCTCATGTTTGACGTAAAAAGGGTCCAGACGCAACCAG